CGAGACGACTAGGACTACCAGCAGAGGCCCGGCTCTTTGACAGACCAGTATGTATACCCCATATACACCACCCTGCCTTTACCATTGAGAGAGTGACAGCCCTATGCAACGAACCGTTCCTGCCCCATGAACTGACCGCGTCTTTCAACCGCTTCGCCGGGAGCGGACGGAATCACGTTCCAGATGCTCCGCAATCTGGCAGACAAGGAGAAGGCCCAGCAGCTTCACTACTTCAATGACATCTGGAACAGCAGCCGGCTACCAGAGTCCTGGCTTACTGCCATCATCGTGCCAATCCTAAAAGCGCGCAAGCCAGCGTCGACCCCTTCATCATACAGGCCTGTCTCTCTTACCTCAGCCACCTGCAAGGTAATGGAAGCAATGGTCTTGGCCCGCCTCGAGTTGATCGCTAGGGCCCTGGACTACTTTCCCGAGCAGCAGACTGGATTCTGGTGCCACCGCAGCACATAGCAGACTCGCTTAGGAACGTTGTCTTGGCACTAGAGCATTCAAGAAGTATGAAAGAGGCGGCCGTTTTAGTGCTTTTGGAAGTTGCAGAATGCGTATGATGGCCTGCCGCACCTGGTAGTCATGCAGGCACTAGCAACTCTGGGCGTGCATGGCCGCATGATGTGCTTTGTGCAGGGCTTTCTGTCGGGCCGATTTTACCGCATGAGAGTCGGCCACGCGCTCAGCTCTCCACAACCGGTATCCACAGGGGTGCCACAGGGTTCTGTACTAAGCCCCTTCTTATTAAATATCACGTTGGCACGCCTGCGAGCTGTCATTCCTTCCGGCCAGCGCTACCCAGTCCAACGTTTTATATACGCTGACGACGTCGCCTTGTGGAACTGGGGCCTTACTAGGAATCATTGAGCTGTCCGATCTTGCCTGCAGAGTGCACTGAATGCTGTAGTCAGTCATATAGCATATGTAGGTCTGGCTGTCTCTCCGGCCATAACGAAGGCACTTCTTCTGCACCACAGACCGACAACACGCAGCAGAGTGGACCGTCTAACCATCGAGGGAACCACAATACCGTGGGAGAGTGCGGTGACCTATCTCGGGTTTCGCATCGACCATCGGCTGTCCTGGGTCCCCGCAGTCTACGAAGTCATATGCATGGCGAAGAGAACCCAGAAGGCAGTGAAGGGCATCTTCCTCAGTGGCCGCGGCTGGTCACCATCCTGGGCTTTTCGTCTTTACACAGCAGCAGAAACATCACGGCTGCTGTACGCGTTTCCCGTGGTAGCACTTCCTCGGCGGCTTTTGGAGCGCCTCGAGTTGCTGCATAGCGGCTTCATTCGCTGTGTCCTCAGCCTACCGCGGTCTTCTCAAGTAGCAGCCACCCTCGCAGATGCGGGTGTCTGGCCTCTCTCCCTGCTTCTAAAGCAACGTGGGCTTCTATACATCGATCTGCCAGCCCATGCGCCTGATGGGCGCCCCCTCCTTGCCCGGCTACAAAGTCGACCAGAATCTCGGATGGGCGAGCTGCTGCAGATCTATCAAGCAGCTGTGGGACCGGTGCCTCCAGCCGTCCCTCTTCCCCGTCAACAGAAAAACCACTGGCTATCAACATTGGTCTGGGAGGGCTCTCCAAGCATCGCTCACCCATTTGCTCACTCAAGCAGGCATCTGCCTCCAAGATAGAGGAAGAGCTGGCTAAAAGGCTTATTGCGTGCCCCCCAACGTGCCCAATGGCTGTCGTGTGCGACTAAGAGCTGCGTTGCTGGCCTTGGCGTAGCCGACATGGGCAGACTTCGCAACGCAGGTGCTCGTCACCAAACTGCATGCCCTCCTTGCCAGTGATGTCGATGTTTCGCTGCACTGGGTCTCATCTCAGGTGGAAATCCAGGGAAAAGAGCATGATGACGTCCTGGCGAAAGAAGCACATCACTTTGCCGTCCCTTTGTGCCGTACCATGGTGGCCTCAGACTTTCCGAGGCTCACATTGAGGAGGCTGTTGCTACGTTGCCGCCCTGACGATCGTGTAGCAAGAATGGAACCATCAACCCGGCTGCCTGACCGGGGTTTCACCAGGAGGGAGATGTCCCTGCTACTTCGCATCCGCATCGGTTGCTCCTGGCCTGTGGCCCGGCGTCATCGGCTTGGCAGAGCCTCGTCCCCTGCGTGCAGTGCGTGCGGGGCCGATGAAACCATCGAGCACCTGTAGTGCGTTTGCCCAGCGCTTCGCGCACCACGCGGCGTCTTGCTCGCTGCATTCCGTCGCCACGGTCTTCCCCCGGCTACACAGAGGGACCATCTCTTTTTTTCACGGCACCACACCCACGTCGTCAAGGTGGTTCTTCGCTTCCTTGAGGACACTGGACTAGACAACTGGCTATAGAAGGCGCCCGCCACGTCCTTGGTGATGAGCGCCATTTCTCTTCACGTCTTTAATGCCCTCTTGATTGATTGATAGATATGTGGGGCTTAACGTCCCAAAACCACCATATGATTTTCAGAGACGCCGTAGTGGAGGGCTCCAGAAATTTAGACCACCTGGGGTTCTTTAACGTGCACCCAAATCTGAGTACACGGGTTTACAACATTTCCGCCTTCATCGGTTTAATGCCCTCTTCCGCCCCCCCCCCCCTACAGACGCTGAACCGTAGCAGAAGTTGCGTCTTTTCCTTTCCTGAACCTCTCTCGCTCGCGCTGGCACCGGCCCGGAGTTTCCCCTCCTGTCTTTCTTGCTCCGCGGCTGCGCCGCGCGACGCAGCCACGAAAAAAATAAACGCTCATAACATCCACGTTTAGTGGTGACGCCAAGTACAACTTCATTTCAAGCAATGACTGTACACATTATCAATTCACCTATCCAAAGCAGTTTCCACCACAAAGAGAAGGCTCCAACAGTGGTGCCAAAAGTGAACTTTGCATTGTGTTTTCGATCTTTTTTTCTTTGTTATTTTCTTTTTATATACTTAGGCTGGAACACAACATATGTGTTCACCCGTTACAAAGGGTAAAGCCACAAATCATCATCAAAACCGGACACAATTAGTTGTCATATTCATGTCATATTACCTTCATCTTTTTTATGCAATGTAGCGTTTATTGCAAACTTATTTTTTGAATAAATTGACTTGACGTAATTACTCGAGGGATTTTGTTGTCTTGTTGATCGTTGAGGTACGTTGCATCGTGGTACGTGCCACGCACTTGGTGTACTTGCACAACTTGCGTGCACTCTTCTAAATTCTTGGCGGCCGTGCCTTTCGATAATAATAGTCTTATTCCCATGGCAGATAACTTTGAAGGGTCCTCCGTAACGATGCAGTGCAAACACCACTATAAGCACCGTACGGGCAGAGAAAATGGCATTTACCTCCTAATGCCTTCAGATTTAATGCCATTCGCGCGGTGCCACACGGACGTACGAAATGGCATTCGTCACTTAATGCCATCGCCAGAACTCTCTCGACTGAAAAAGGCATACTTTGGACGGCGCAGCTGATGAATTAATATATAAAAGGACACTTTATTTCGGCTTGAAGGAAACTTTTCGCGTCTTTTATTTACACTGATCACATAAGCAAGTGCTTAAAAACGTATATTATGCTGGTAGATTATGCTGGTCAATGCGACAGGCGCCATTTTCTGTTTACGCTGCGACCGCCACTGCGCGCTTCATCTCGTAGGTTTACAGTACTTTCTTTTAACTGCAGTGGCCCATTTCCCAGCCATTTTCTGATCCCGAGGAAACTTGTGAAAAGCGACCTCATCGCGATCGTAAGTGCTGCGGCAGCCACACAGTAACTCAGCATCGCGAGTCCACTTCAACCTTGCACAAACACAACTAGTGATTGCCGGATGGCGAAAATCTTTAATCAGAAGAAGAGAACAGTGCAATGGCGAGAAATGCCTACGAACTGATGCTTCGCCAGGCAGCAGACACTAGGCACAACCGTGAAGTAAACAAGCTGAGCTGATTGAGCGATGCAGGCGGCCCCGCGCAATGTTGCCCGCCAGGCGGCGGTACAGTGGAAGTGTGATGAGCGGCAAGCGGCGCCTACGTAACAACGGCGCGAACCCATTGGCCCGGCGACGGTACCGGATGTTTATCGCCAGAACCGTAGTGCATTGTGGGAGGGGGTCTATCCGCTCGCCTTTGTAAACTCGAGGCCGGGGGCCTGCGACGACGCAATTTCAAGCCAGAAAAAAAAAAAAATGCAAGTGCCACTGCTGGGGCAATCGGCGTGGTCGCTGGCAACACCGGCGTTCGCAGCACGCCAAGCTTGTTCAAGCGAGGAAAACGAGTGAGTGAGAACATTTATTGAAAAAAAAGGAGGAGAGGTGCAGCCCTTTAGAGGCTTCATAGTGGGTGGAGTCCTTATTCCGGGACCCGGCATATCCTTCCAGCTATAGTTCCTAAGAAACCTTAGCAACATTTTCAGGCTAGGAAATTCACATGTCCCGCGAAGCCTTGGTGGCTACAGCAATTCACTTTTGTCTTGGAAGTCCCGTCGTCCCGCCGATAGGTATCCGCTGCGGTCTGCAGACCGATGGGTTCGAAGCGCTGTTACCTTATCTGGCCAATCGCGTCTCGCAACGTAGGGCTGGTTAGGGTCTGCGGGCTTTGACTGATGCGCAAACTGCAGGTGGCCGACGTGGCTTGCATTACTCACCGAAATTAGCCCACCTGTGAAAATTTTGAAGCTGGCTGGGCATTTTGGCACAGCTATTGGAAATTGTACCAAATTGGCACAGTTATCGCAGCTTATGCACCCCTGTAAAATCGTTCAGTGGTTTTTGAATATATTATACTACAGGGGGTGTGGTAGTTGAAAGCAGCACTGTCTGGATGGCCAAAACCCATGTAAAAATGAGACGGTGGGAATCTGTACATGTCACTTTGTTTTGTCCAAGGTCAGTGACTGGCTTCATTATCAGCTAGGAAGCTTGCTCGATCTGGACATTCATAGGCGATAATGCTGAGTAACTCTACACTACTCAGGTGTCATAGAATGCTTCAAAAAAAGACAACTTCCAAAGTGTTGCACTTTGTCTAACAATATTTATTTCAGTGTATAAATAATGCACCTCAAAGGGCTCTCACGTTAAGTTTTAGATTCTGTACACCATGGAGGCCAATAAACTCCTATATACAAATACAGTTTGTGTAAGTACTAAATTGCCAATGACATCAAAAGGTCCCTACAACTTCTTCTCATTTGCACTCTCGGGGGCCGGGGACAAAAAACACCAAGGCAAGTTTTCACCCGAAAGGCGAAGAACATGCCCGATTGGCAGTTAAAAAAAAAAAGGAGGTTCCGAAAATCCACAGAGGATATTTGGCGTAGGTAAATATGTAAACAACAACATGCTTATAGTACAATATTTACAGCACTGATACACTATGCAACAAGAAAAGCAGGTCCGCGAATAAAAACTAGTACGAGGAAACAGCTGTTAAAAGCTGCAAGTTGGTACGTAAGACAATAAATTGTGCCTGACTGTGATGTTCTCGAAAAAAAAAAAAAAAAACACGAGGAGGGCTGTGCCTTTAAAAAATATTAGTATCTTTAAAAAAAAACAAATGAATTCAAAGACAAAAACTGCTTAACAACACAAAGCCACACTGCTGGCTTTGTCAAACACAACAATAAAAACACAGGAACGCATAGTCTATGCAAGAGTATTAGCCCCACAGAACCGCCACAGAGGCATTCAAAAGCAAATCCTGCTGGCTTCGTCGCAAGCCAAAGTTTTTGTACAGTGGTGTTGTTAATAGCGATAAAAAATATATGGACAAGGCATTCATCTGTTATGTGAAAAACCTATGAGAAAAACCTACTACTATAACTACTGTGCTTAAATACGGATGAATACATCATTAGGTGCCACTCACTAGCAGAGAGCTTTAAAACTCACTGAGATGGAAGCCAACAGTGAGCTAGTTTGCAGCATACCACGGCACTTGGCAGCTGCATACCACAAGGGTGCATTGAAGTACATCAGTAGGGGTACATTACTATTAAAAACTTTCTTACAGTGAATATGACATTTTTTTGTGTTTGACACATTAATAGCTGCCCTTCCTAATTCAATTGTTTTTTTTGTCACTTTCCTTAACAGAAAACACGTGCCATGAAAAATTATTATATTTCTTACTGAATCATAAATGTAAGTGGCAGCTGGCATAATTAAAAAATTATTTGGAAGTTCAAGACATCAATCTGTTTTTTTTTCTAGACATCTGAGAAACTACGAGCCATCATTAACTGTCACCTCTATATCACACATAATAAATTCAACGACACGAGTCGCACACACATCCTCAGCAATTACAGCCGTGTGCCAATGCCATTCTTTCCTCCACATTCCACAAGCACTTGAGTTGCACTGCTTTGCGAAGACTTGCTAGGGAGGCAGAGGCACAGATTTAGCCAATCGGGAGAAAGTAAAAGAGCAAGTAGCATACAGGGTGTAAGACGAGTGGCAAGCCCACCTAATGTGTTGGGCGCTAATATGCGACATATGTATTACAATGAACAAAAAAGGAAGCAAATATAGCGAGCAGTATAATACACTCTGACTCTTACTGAAGACCACATTCCTGCCATACAAAGGAAACTCCACAGGCAACCCAGAGCCTTCACGCTCACTCCCTCACAAAATGCACAAAGGGGTTCAGCATTCGCGATAGCGACTGCAAAATGGCAAGTGAGAGATAGGCCACACAGCATCAGGCATGCCTGGACACCCCGTCCCAAGTCCCAAATACATCACTTCCGAGCAAAATGTGCCGCAAACAAATACTGCAGTGCCCACTACACAAGCTGTACAGCCTGGCCCCCAATATGCATATCCCACTGTGTAGAGGACAACCTCGATTCAGCACCAGTGGTGCCCACTAAAGTCGAAACATGGAGGGCGCAGGAGGAAAGAGGGATACGCAGGAGAAAATGAATGGCAATAGTGCAGCCACACCAACGTCCTCACTATGCGCAAGGGAGGAACAAGAGCATAGCTCAGCTGCCCTGGGAACATGTGCAGTACATTGCACAACTTATGCTGCAAGCAGTCATAACTGGTGCACGCAAAAAGCAGTAACAAAGAGGCCAGTTCCATGAAGAAAAGAAGAAAGACAAGAAAAGGGTGCCATATCCGTAAAAAAAAAAAAGACAATAAAAATTCATGCGCCTACTAACCTGCCTTTGCTCAGATTGAGTATACATCAGCGGAATGATACGACATGAGCAAGGAGGGATTAATTCAGATGCGACAAATGAGCAGCTGACTATGGTGCCCCTACCTAGTGATCTTGAGCATGAACGACAACCCCGTAGGCTCAGACACAGCCGACGCTTTGTAATATCCCCTTCTTCTTAGGAAACAGAAGCAAACGACAGCCATTAGTTGACATGATGGGAAATGATGTCAGAGTTGTCTGTGGAACTGTCATGATGCATTGTTGTGGCTCCCTCATAAGGTTTGTGCTGTGGATGTTGCGATAGAAAATAACCGTAGAAATGGAATCATTTATCTGTGAACAAGGGTCTAGATGCGGAACCCCAAAAAAACCACATGTGATGCGACGAGATGTGCGAGATAGCCTGATCCGGCAGCGAAAGAAAGAACGTGAAATGATACATCACTCCGAAAAACACACACACAACATAGGTTAAGCCATATAACGTTTTTAGTACAGACACATCTCTGACAGAAAAAGTGCTATTAAATCTAACTCAATATGGCCAGCCATATCGTTAAAATTGCAGACAAAATGCAGTCGACTTCACACACTACAAAAAACAAAGGTGCATTATGAATCACAGCCATAGTGCTTTTGCAACACAAACAAAGCATTCACACATACTAAATCCAATAACAGCTTTCCAAACAAATGCTTAACACACTGCATGTCTAACCCAGGGCAGACGGAAATGAAAACACCATGCTCCACATACAAGAGATCAGTGGCTGCCACTTCGAAGTTTGTCCTGAGGTATTCAAGAGGACCCAAGACATCTTGAAACTTCCAAGAGCAAAATGAGAAGCTGATAAAAGTCCCGAAGATATTTAAAAATGACACTACTTGGTGACTAAACCCCAGTGTACCTCGGATTGCCATTGTGCACATGATGAGTTGAACACAGAAGCCTCATTTACATGAACAGGGGAAAGGCAGCACCGATCGGTGAGCACAGTTCCAAGCAGTATCCATCTGGGAGGTAAGCTGACAGGGACACACAAACACACACAAAAAAAAGTATTAACACTGTTCCCACACACACACCGCACTCTTCACAACATTCCAAACATTCACCACATTGTGCAGCAGACAGTGATTAACAATGCTCCAGACATTAGCGACCAAACAAGATTGTGCACGCATACAGGCCAGGGACACCTTGTGTTTAAGGCCATGACATGAGTGAAGAGAGAGAGCTAGTTGCCAGACCTCGTTAGAAGATGCTTTAGATCCTGCATTGCTATCAAGGAAAGCCGATCCTGAGATGTGAATAAGCAGCAATAAATGTTGGCTATTGGCCCTAGCCTGCCCCGCAGGCATCCTCCTATATACATAGTGACCATGTGCATGGTGATGGAAACAGTGCAGAAAAACAAAAAAAATAAATGAAGAGAGTGCCTACCCACATCGAAGGACCCAAGCCTCTGATCTATGTCCCACTTAAAGAAGCATCTGACTGAAATTCACTATACTACACTGACTCAGCCCTTCAACGAATATATTTTTCAAGTTTTGTGGAGTTGTAGTGGGTGGGGCCCGCCATACTAGAGTGCCCATCCTCAACTTCACTGCCATTGTTTTTGAGTAAGTGAAACATGGCAGGCAACAAACTAGCATCCATTCAACGAAACACACTGACGGCTGCACTTTCGTCTAAGGAAAGACTGCAGTATCCGTAGAAATGACTAAAAGCACACAGGAGAAACGACAGCAGCTGAGGAACAAATAGAAGCAACAAAAACCGCAGTCGACTAACTATAACCACACAGCAAAGCGCCAGTTCGAAATGTCCTGCATGCACACACATTCGGTGCTAATGTTTCTTTTTTCCTTCCTCCTCCTGGGCCTGGGTGACCAGCAAAAAGCACGCATGTATGGTTGCACTGAATATTTGTCCCCTGGGGGGCAATTATGGCTCTTCTAAGGAGAGGACGGCAGAGAGTGGTCGGAACTGTCCCCCAGGGAGTCGGCGGTGGCGTTCGCCTTGTGGCAGCCGTTGCCGCCTCCGCGGCGGTTTGACGTCAGCATGCTCGGCCGGAAATCCGGGTGCCGGCGGGCGTGCTTGGTGAGGTGGTCGGAGCGCATGAAGCGCTTGCCGCACAGCGGGCAGGCGAACTTCTTCTCGCCCGTGTGCGTCCGGAAGTGACGCGCCAACTCGTCGGAGCGCGCGAACCGCTTGCCGCATTCTGACCAGGTGCACGGGAACGGACGCTCGCCTGCGTAGAAGAAGACAGAAAACGGCGGTTAGGGTGGACCAAACCCGTCGAGAGTTCACATAATGGCAATCTTCGGCTGAAGTGAACTGGCACCGTCACGGTGGAAGAGAAGTTACGTCAAATACCGCCCCAGCTTTATCCCCCGCTACGGGCCAGACGAACATGTGAACCACAAGACTCGAACTCGCGACAGCAGCGCCGTCTGCGAGTGGCGCCATTCAGCAGACGACAATTCACAGCGTCTTGTTTGCACTGGGAATAAGAGAACAAACGACGGAAAACCATACAATGAGAAACACTTGCGAGACGTCTGTTCTCCAGGCGGTTGTGCTGCACCAACTAGACGAGGGATACGGTAATTTTCGCATCACGTTCGGTGTCCAGTGGAATCCTGGCAGCAAAAGTAGCCTTGTGCGAGCACGATCGGACGATGTAAGCTCATGCACGTTTTTTTTCTGTCCTGTCCAGCCGTATTCTGCGGCGGCGCCAGCTGTAAATTACGCCCGCCAAGATGAAACGTCACCGCGTCGTCTGCCAGCGCGCGCGGGCCGATGGGATTACACCACGCTCCACCGTCGGCCTGTCACCGGCGCCTTTGTGACGCCAAGACATCACGATAGTTATAGCGCGAGAACAGCACGACGACAAAGAGACAAGGACATTCTCTTTGGCGTCGTTCTGTTATCGCTCTATAACTATCGTCGTGTCATACCAAACAGTCCAAACTGCCACACTCTCAGCCCCACATTATGATGTGGAGGTGAACGCGCTTCAACGCGATAGGTGCGCCGCCGGAACGTTATTGGCATCTGTGCAGGAATAACGAAAGAACCTGCAATTAGTGTACTAATAACGCGAACTGAAAATCGCAAACTTAAAGGGGCCCTGCGACACTAGTTGAGCATGCATTTTTCGTAGGTTCTTCTAATGCTGCGGCACGCGCCGATATCCGCGCGCACATGGCAACGCCAAAATCGACGCTGTTATAATTTCAATTCACGGGACAAACTACCTTGATTTCAGACCACGGCGACACACATCGGCAATTTTTAGATGCGGAGCATCTTATACTCGCGCCTTGTAGTGCGCCGTCCGCACCGCTTCTCGAACATTCGACAGCTGACGCGCGCGCATGCGCCGTCGCGCCGTCGCCCACTCTTCCACCATCTGTGCATCCCTTCCTCCTCTACACACCGCGCGCGCTTCACTCCTCCACCATCTGTGCACCCTTCCTCCTCTACACACCGCGTTCGACATCTACAATTCTCCTGATTCTCCAGTGGACGCGCATGTGGCGTCGCGCTTCGAGAACATTCAACAGCTGACAGTGCATGCGCCGTCGTGCTGTATATATACTCAAGGTCGGCGCTCGCTCGCTCAGTTGCCGCTCGTCGGTTGGTTTGTACGGCGTGTCGACGTCCAAGGTCGCGGTGAAATGAATTCCAACGAATCCACAAACACAATGATCGACGTCCCTTCGACCAGCGCCGCCCTTTCGCATACGTGTGTACGTGTTCACTCATTTAACACCCCCTCCTACAACCACGTTAACCAATTTAGCCATCGACCCAAGTAAGTCGCAATTTAACACCCCATTTCACAACCACGTTAACCAATTTAGCCATCGACCCAAGTAAGTCGCACTTTAACACCCCGTTAACCAATTATATGGTCGGCATCCTCCTCAGTGTTCCCCCGAGGGAAGCTGCGGGCAATTTTTGTTATGGGAAATGACGTGACGACAAACACCGTTCGCTTTTGATTAGCTTGACGCGAGAAATAGCGTGCAATATTCATATGGTGGTAACTAGGCCATACGAATGAGTGCTCAAAGCAGCAAGAACGTTTTTTTTAATAGTTTCTCAGAAAGAAATCATGTTTCTAAACGACTTATTTTCAGAACAACGAACACAACACTTAGCCTGCGAACGAAGCTACGGTACGCCAGCAACTAGAAGTGGAAACGCTAGCCGCGTTTTTAGCGAGCCAGAAATGCGACAGGTGGTGGGCGCCCGCGCTGTCCGTAGAAAGCGCTTTGCATGCAAGCCGAGAAGTGACTCCGCCCTAAGCGTATGTGTGTATCTTACACATTGTGACCATAGAGAAATGTGTGACCGTGTAAGCGTCTGTCTCTCGACGCACGTGGTTCGTAGTAACCATGCTAACGACGCCGTCAAAAAGAGCGGTAGCGAGGTATTGTGCGAAGGCCACCATGAGGTGACATTTCCGGAATGTCTTTATGAGACGCACGCTGTGATTGGAAGCGGTCTTTGACGTCAGCAGGCGAGTGAAATGCGAAATAGAACGTTTCTCGTCGTCGTCTGCTCGAGCTTTGAACTTTGAGGACTCATAACTTCACTTTCAGGGCACCAATTTCCATAACCCTTGTTGCATTCGTCTTAGTAATCATCCCTACACGAGTTCCGGTGCTAAATAAAGCTGCCCCTAAAGTGCCGCAGGCGGCGACAGTGACGTCACTACATTACGGCAAATATGACCCCTGTGTTCCGATTGCGTGAGTTGAATTAACTTTCCTGCTGACAGTACCACGAGTAGTAGAGCAATGTTAAGGGAAATCTGCTACACTTCTTACAAAATAAAAAAAAAAATGAACTCACGATTGAAGGGTGGCGCGTTTCCCGTGAGAACGTGTCCCCAAGTCACAGCATTCAGCATATCAGAAACATTTAAAACACACGCGGAAAAAATGCGGCGCCGGACACCCGAGGAACGTAGAAAAGCGCGCGCCGGAAACAGACCCAAACAACAAGAGACAGAGCAAGATCTTGAATGGGCGCGGGCTTTAAGGTAGGGAAAAGAAAAAAAAAACAGAGCCACGCCAGGAGAGAGGTGAGAGACGGCTCTTTGTCCTCCGAAAACCGGAAAAGCCGCCAAGATCGGCGTTTCCGAGGAAAAAAAAAAAAAAACCGCCCGAGAGAGGCGAAAGCCCTCCACGAAGCCTGCCTCGTTCGTCACCAGGGGCCGCCACACTCCCTACCACGAGGCGCTACACTGACAGGCATCGGCGGTGGAGAAGTGCTGCCACAACCACACTCATGCGGAGGCAGGCACAACGCCTTGTCTACCTTATAGGAGGCAGAAATTAGGTGCCTTCTTCATTTAGAACCGCCAGGAGAAGTGCCACAACTACACGCGGGCTTCTCCGACGCACGGCGGTTTCTCAAGCGCACCACCAAGGCAGGCCTAGCGGACAGGCAGGAGGACGACGCCCGCACCCCGTTGGCGCGCACGGGAGCGACCTTCGACTCGCAAAGGTAGCGGTGCTGCAGGGGCCTTTGGCACCGGCACGCCCAGGCAGGGCGCAACAAAGGCACTTCGCTCTGCGCGTTGCCCGCCAAGGAGAGAAGGGGGGCGTGGCGCGAAGGTGGCGGCGGCCACGTTTATTTTTGAAGCCGTTTAGCGAAGGCGACGCAAAACAAGTTTCGAAACCCATGGGCACCGCTCTTTCGGAGACAGCGCGAGCGGCCAAAGCCGAGGGGGGTGACCCGGCGAAAAAAAATTTGCTGACGCAAGAAGAATGTCGGGACGAAAGCCACCCACCGCACGCGTTTGCCGGGATGCCCCGAAAACGACGACAGCCAAATAGCGCGCTAAAATAAAAAAACAAAAAGACAAGTCCGGGCAAGGCCTAAAACCCGACCGTGCCCCACCCACCTGGTTTGATAACATCAGCCGATTCTTTCCCTCGGCGACCGAACCGGGGAGGAGCATCACGCGGCTGGAAAATGAAGGGGAACAACAAACAGCAGCAACGCGGTCAACACAAAAGCGCCTCTCAAAGCGCAATCAGAGCGCAGATTGCGCGCCAAGGGGGTCGGTCCCCCGCGCTAAAGAAACGAGGCGGCAGCTCTCCTCGGAGCGCAACGAGAGAACGACGCAAAGCTGGAAACAGATCGCTAGTTGCCTCAGCGGTGCAGTCGCTGTGCCACTGGCTTTAGACCGAAGTGCGAGCGCGATACCAAAAGTGATCCGCTGACAATACGGCCCCTGAAGGCACATGCCTTTTTTTCTTCTGTTTGATCTGATTTGGTCATCGCCGGGGGAAAAGCAAGAGTAATACCGGTGTCACACGGACAATTTCCATCGCGTTCGGGGCCGAAGCGGATTAGAGGAGATCCGGGTGAAATGTTGCTGCTACACGGTCGCTTCCAATCGCGCCACATCGGTATCTAAGGCTGGTTGTGTGGTCCACCAATTCGCCCTAATTAACCTTTTGTTGCGGTATCAAGACAACCGCGAATTGACCGACGTCTGCGCCAAACTCGATCAGGATAACTTGAGACCGTTTTAAAGCGACAATCGTTGATGGCGATCAAGTAATCTGATCTGTATCTGCCCTAATCGCGATAAAAAGTGTCCCCTTTGGCACTGATATGAAATACCGTCGACAGCTTCTGTTTGGCAACTCAAGATGAAGCACCGTAAGAAATTCGCTTTCACGTTCGAAGCACTATCGCAAGCACGGACTATAGTAGTCAACAGGAAAGGCTACTAGACGCATCTATAATATACCAGCACGACAATTACACGCGAAGTGTTGCAGTCAGTTTTGTCAGCTCTCGATCAAGTGCAAGAACGAGCGCAGAGGCGGCACTTGGGTAACGGCGATAATGAAAGCTTCGAAACATTTGAGATCTTTGCGTCGAAAAAAAGATAGCAGCGCGTGGAAGCGTACTTCCTGCAGCCAGTCGAAATCGATCTCGCTTGGATGTCCTGCTGAGGGGGGAGAAATGTTCTGTAGTTGCATCCCTAGATGCGAGCACGCTTGTGTGCTGCTGCCTAAGCAACGACCTAGAGTGAGCGGCTGCGATGCGTCGCAGGTATGCAGGGAACACCTTGCGAGCACGAAACAGCGAGAAACGTCACAGTGCACTTCAGATTACACCGCGTTCCAAACTAACTGTGATCTTGAGCTTGGTCTCACAGCAGCAACTGCATAAAGCAACGTCCTTATAAAGAAAATGGTGCATAAGAAAGCA